CTTGCAAACTCCTTTCCCTTCCCCTCCCCACCACAGACACCCTGTGAGGTAGAAGAAGAAGAAGAAGAGATTGGATTTATACCCCGCCCTCAACTACCTAACGGAATCTCAGAGCGGCTCACAAACTCCTTTCCCTTCCCCTCCCCACAACAGACACCCTGTGAGGTGGGTGGGGCTGAGAGAGCTCTTGACAGAAACGGCTCTTTTTCAAGAACAGCTCTGACAGAACTATGGATTGCCCAAGATCATCCAGCAGCTGCAAGTGGAGGAGTGGGGAATCAAACCAAGTTCTCCCAGATTAGAGTCCGCGCACTGAACCACGACACCAAACTGGCAGGAAGGAGGGCAGGGAGCTGTTCCTGTTGGCAGCATAGGAGAGGACGCGCAAGAGTGGGTTTAAATCCGCAAAGGATGTTTTCCCACACCGCTACAGAAAGCAGCTGCCCTTCCCTCAGGAGTACCTAAAGGCCTTTGGTTGAGGCCAAGGGAATGTGTGCGCGCTCTGAGAAACAAAAGGAGTGGAGAGGTGCCAAGTGCGTGGCATTCTACCAAAACTTTCAAAACGGCTACCAGCCACGGGGGAAATATCGGCTGCCTGGGAACTCACATCAAATAAAAGCCGGCTTGCTCTCCGCGATGTTTCTTTTTTAAAAAGTTTACAAATGAGAGGGTTGCTGCTCCCTTGCATCAGCCTATCGGAGCGCTCTCCCTCTCTCAGGAAAACAAGTCAAGGTTTGTATCCTGGCAGGAAGTCAGAGACTTTTCTGTTCTAAATCGGGAAACCTGCGTAGCATGAAGAACGTCGCCACTTTCCTTGCATAAAAAGAGGGTTTATCTGGAGCATTCCTTAAAAACACAGAGGATCTTTTGTCTTCAGCTACTCAGGCAATGTGATTAACAGAAATAATTTTCTGGTCCCTTATTCCTCTCTTTTCAGAAAAAAACCCCACAGGCTGGGGGGGGGCAGTGTTCCCTCTATGTGGAGTTAGTGTGAGCTAGCTCTCAGTTTTTTAGCCTCCGGCTCACACATTTTGGTCTTCGCTCAGGAAGGAGGGCTCCAGAGGAAAGGAGGGCTCCAGGGGAAACTAATTTATGCAGCAGCCAAATCGCTCGCTCACAACTTTAATGCCAGCAGCTCACAAAGTAGGATTTTTGCTCACAAGACTGCACGGCTTAGAGGGAGCGTTGGTGTGTGTGTGTGTGGGGGGGTTTGAAACAAAGACTTCAAGGTAAAGAACCATCCACGCAGCTTTCAGAAACTCAAAAGTGCAAACCAGATATGAAAAGAGAGGCACATGGAAGCCAGGTTGATCTGTGTTCGATTCCTGCAATATTTTGTTTATTCAACCGTGTCTGGTAACTGACACCTCTTGCTCTGAATTATTGCATCAAAATGTCTGTGCCATTGCAATCCTGAGTATGCTGTTCAGGGGTGTATCTGTAAGCCGCAAACCTGCGATGACGCAGCAGCAGAAGAACTGGAAGAAGCAGAAGACAGCCAGTTCCACTGCGGGCCTGATCTGGCCCCCGGGCTGCATGTTTGACACCCCTGTCCTAAGTGAACAGGGAAGCCACATTCTTGCATATGCCTCCTTATTATACTCCGATCTCCAAGGACACCAGCTCCTACATGGCTTAGAATCCTTCATTCCTCAACCCCCTCTCCTCTTTCACCCACTTGACCCTTGCTTCCGGAGTCACCAACACTACTTCAATCAGGGGCCCCCAAACTGTGTCTGAGCTTGCTAGCCAGCCACTATATTTACCTGTAACAATAAGGTAATCAGACTAATCAGAGCTTATACCACCTGCACAATTCTTTGAGAACAAGGCTGTGTGTTTTTGGGAACACCTGCTTGGCTTCATTACTCCGCTTGTCCTGGGCCGGGGGGGGGGGGGGGGGATCTACTTGCCAAGATGAATAACAACCCGCGCCGTTCGCGTGTGTTTTTCTGCAAAATACCCCATAGTCTTCCACCCAACAAGAATCTAGTCTTTCAGGTCCATGACTGAAACGGTAAATGCACTTGCTATCTGTCTCTCCTGGCATTCCTAGGCCTCTTCCTACCCCTCTCAACTACTGCTTAAAAATCTGTTCCCCTTTTGAGCGGGGGTTTGACTTCCTTTATGCATATCTGTGTTCCAAAATGAAACCAGATTCATACTGGTCGTGACAAAACTCCAGCTCTCACTTGGCAAGACAAAGCAATTTTCAGGATACATTTTTATCTTGCTCTTCCCCCCTTCCTTCCTTTTTTCTAACAATCCTTGGAGGTAGGTGAGGTTGAAAGGTTGTGGCTGGCCTAACATTGTGCAGGCCTGGCTTTCTGAAAACTATGCAGAATTGAATTATTCTAGAGGGCTTTTCTGTGCAGGCGGTAGACTTGCGCTGTGCTAAATGATACACAAAGTCAGGGCTATTTGGGGGCAGGAACACACAGGAATGGCGTTCTGGCTGGCTTCAGAGTTGGCCACGCCCACTACAGCCAAAACCTCTGCGCGTGCATGGCTACAGAGGGAAGGCCTGGAGAGCGACCCTGCCCCTCAGTGACGCCGAGGCAGGTGGGCCAGGGCGACCCCTTCTCTGCGTAGGGAAGGCATGGGCTGTGGCCTAATATGTTAATGAGCTGTACTGTCAGGGTGTGGCCTAATATGCTAATGAGTTCCTGCTGGGCTTTTTCTACAAAAAAAAAAAAGCCCTGCACAAAGTTACTTGGATTCATTATGGGGGGAACTATGGTCTGTTCAACTGTGTACAGTTTACTGTGGGCTGGACCCTATTGTGTAACTTTGCATCATTTAATATGTCACGTTAACACATATGCTTTGCTTCAGTTCTGTTTTCTAGATTTCTGATTGGTTCTACAACCCTAATCTTATTGTATGGTTTACTGAATGTGCCCTCTTGTGGATTGTACTGACTGGCTCTCTGTAATCCCCCTTGAGTCCCAGCGAGAAAGGCGGACTACCAATAACGTACATAAAATAAAAATAAATGTCCACAAGCTTGGAACTTGGGTCGTCTTGGTCCAGATTCAATACTCACATCCCACACACCAAACAAAGCTTGAATATAGGAGCATCCTTATGACCAGCAAAGCTTAATTCCTGGTACAAGATGAAGTGTGCGTGCACACGAAAGCTTATACCCAAAATTAAACTTTTGTTGGGTTTTTAAGGTGCCCCTGGACTCAAACACGTTGTTCTGTTGCTTCATAACAACATGGCTACCCACCTGAATCGTTCCACACATCCAGGGCTCCTTTTGTAGAAAAAGCCCAGCAGGAACTCATTAGCATAATAGGCCACCCCCAACAGCAGGGACTCATTAGCATATTGGGCCACACCCCTGACAGCCCAGCTCATCGGCATATTAGGCCGCACCCCCATGTTACCAGAAGTGTGGTCATCCAGCCACACCCACCTTTTGCTTCTTATTCTGTTTACCTTGTTTGTGGTCAAAACCCTGTTTGTAGCAGGGACTCCTTTGCATGTTAGGCCACACACCCCGAATGTAGCCAATCCTAATGAGTTTCTGCTGTTGGGTGTGGCCTATTATGCTAATGCGTTCCTGGTGGGCGTGGCCAACTTGGGAGCCAGCCGGAACTCCGTTCCTGTGCGTTCCTGCCCACAAATAGCCTAAGATAGATAGATAGATAGATAGATAGATAGATAGATAGATAGATAGATAGAGATATAGATAGATATAGATATAGATATCAGTTCATATACACGTCTGTAGGCACAGTCCAGAGCATCTGGCAGTTGTGTCGACTTGTTCTGGAGGGTACTGAAGGACTTCTCCGCATTTTTGAGACGACTCACCTTGTGAGCTGAAGGGGATGCCGATTCGGCTGCAGTCGCGAACCATGTCGACAAAGCTGGAAATCTTGAACTCCTCCGCAGCTTCCTCGTCTTCATACTGATGAGACAGCAGAAAAAATTTTTTTTTAAAATAAATCGACAGTTCTACAGAGATCTGGGGGGATTCCCGCAGGATTTCCGCAGGAGCAGGATTGCACCAGCGGCACTGCCGGATTCTGTAACTGCCAGTGCAAGAGCGATTTAATTACTAAAGCCTTCTGCTAAATATTTATTTATTTATTTACTTATTTATTATTTGTATTTCTATCCCGCCCTCCCCGTAGGCTCAGGGCGGCTTACAAGTCATATTACCAAATCATAACATAACATAAAACAATACATACATTAAGATATTTAAAACCAGTTATAATCATAGAAAAATATATTCAGTACTCCTCGCATAAAAACCAAGATGGCTATCTCTTGAAATCTCATTCAAGTGCTCAACCTCCAGATTACCTGGGGAGCTTACTGGTCTAGGAAAAAGAAGAAACTTAAAAAATAATCATGTGTACGGGTCTGTTTATATGGGAGTTAAAGTTGGAGGGAAGGGTAGTGTCAGTGGCATCACAGTGAGGTCAGGGTCCCGGAACTGTTTGACTCTCCCTAAACTGAAAGATGCCAGATTGGCCTCTACTAGGGCCAGGGCCTTCTCAGTAGTGGCTCCATACTGGTGGATTGAGCTCCCGGAAGACATCAGAGCCCTGCAGGACCTTTTACAGTTCCTCAGGGCCTATAAAACGGAGGTCTTCCACCAGCCCTTCGATTAGGAGCCGCTACTAACAACATTGAACTGGGATAAGCCCCTTCATGACAACTGCATCTGCCTGCGATGTCAACAGTAACGCCCTTTGGCCATACTTCCTGCTACATCTGCAACATCAGGGCCAAGAGTTACCGCCACCAGGACTTTAACTGCACTTATTTGTGAATCGTATATGAAAGTTACGAGGTGTCTGTATGTAAGAAATCTGTGTTTTATTGTATTTTAATTTTTTTAATGTGAGCCCCCCTGAGCCTGCTCTGGCAGGAAGGGCGGGATACGAATCAAATCAAATAAATAAATAAAAGCAGTGTTCCCGCTAAGCCGTGGGTGTGAGCGGCCTCTCATTAACACCAGAAGCCCCGCTCAGCAGCAATCTGGAGCCACGCAGGGTCTTGCACCGCCATTTCCCCAGATTATAGCAGTTACATTCTGCTCAGGATATGAACTGCTCTGCTCGGTAGGGAGGAAAAAATTAGAAGGAACGTTGGATACAGGCCTGTCGCTCAGGTTAACATAAGAACATAAGAGACGCCAATGTTGGATCAGGCCAAAGGCCCATCCCGTCCAACACTCTGTGTCACACAGTGGCCAGAAATACCAGGGGCCATCAGGAGGTCCACAGTGCCATCAGGAGGTCCACCAGTGGGGCCAGGACATTAGAAGCCCTCCCACTGTTGACCCCCCCCCCCAAGCACCAAGATGACAGAGCATCACTTGCCCCAGAGTCCCTATCTATACCTTGTGGCTAATAGCCACTGATGGACCTCTGCTCCATATGCCCATCTAGTTCCCTTTTGAAGCCGTCCATGCTTGTAGCCGCCACCACTTCCTGTGGCAGTGAATTCCATGTGTTAATCACTCTTTGGGTGAAGAAGGACTTCCTTTTATCCGTTCTAACCCGACCGCTCAGCAATTTCATGGAGTGCCCACGAGTTCTTGTATTGTGAGAAAGGGAGAAAAGGACCTCTTTCTCTACCTGCTCTTTCCCATGCATCATCTTATAAACCTCGATCATGTCACCCCTCAGTCGTCGTTTCTCCAAGCTAAAGAGCCCTAAGCGCCTTAACCTTTCCTCATAGGGAAAGTGTTCCAACCCTTTTATCATTCGAGTTGCCCTTTTCTGCACTTTTTCCAAAGCTATAATATCCTTTTTATGGTGTGGTGACCAGAACTGCACACAGTATTCCAAATGAGGTCGCACCATTGATTTATACAGGGGCACGTATCGAGAAACGTACGCAGGCATCAGCTCAGTATCTTAACACCGGCCCATCTGAAAAGCCTACATTTTATGATAACCAACTTGCACCGCTATCAATTTAACCCATATAGTGCAGAAGTTCCAAGAGGTCTTCGTGAGAAAAGGCTACCGCATGGTTTCTAGCATGAGCCAAATGACTCAGTCCGTCTGTTGAACGACAAGAGGCAGGTTAAAGCTCCTAAGTCCCAAAGTTGTGTATTGAAAATTTCATACAGCCAACACACACAAACCACAACTCACTCTATATACTGCAGCTGGAATCTTAAGCCAAGGGCACACTTTATCTGACAGCAAAAAGCTTTGCCTCGCCGGATACAAATCCTGTGGTTTCAAGCAAGGTAGCGCTTTTTGCACTTGCAGTTCGGAAAGTTAGATCCAAGGTGGCTCTTAGAAATATTTTATAATGAGTTACAAAGAACCGATGCCATGTTTTTACAATTTTATAATCCTAAACTGTTATGATTTTGACATCTTAGTTGTATAATTTAGCTTTATTCCGAACGCAATGCTTTAAATCGTAAGTACTTTTCGAATGCGATTTTGTATTGTAACGGCCAATGGCCATATACAATAAATCAATCTTACATATACTGCAGCTTCTCACCCGTAGCGACTCGCTAACTTATCCCGAGTCAGGCCACTAACCATATAGCTCAGGATTGCCTGCACTAACTCAGAGTTCTCCGGCAGGGGTCTTTCACATCACCTCCTTCCTGACCCTGTCAACTGGAGATACCAGGGACTGAACCCTGGGACCTTCTGCATGCTGACCAGACGCTCTACCCCTGAGCTGTAGCGCCTTCCTCGGGGAGTTAGGGGGCAGCAAGAAACACTCCTGTCGCAAAGACCAGCCCTGGTTCAAAAAACATGGCAACGCCGATTTTGTGAGACATAAAAAAAGAGATCAGTCCTAATTATTTCTCGCATGCCTTCAAAACAAGGCCCCGTAGAATAAAGGCATGGCCTGCCCGTTTGCAAGACGTCAATCGGGGTAACTGGTGACCTCCGATTTAAGTAAGAAACTTAGAAAACAAAGAGCTCTTGTGAGGTGGGTGTTGCCAAAAACAGATCAAGATGGACATGCCTCTAGCCGCAGAAAAGAGCAAGGGTCCAGTGGCACCTTAAAGACTAACAAAAATTGTGGCAGGGGAGGAGCTTTTGTGAGTCATGAAAACTCTACTGCCCAAAACAGTGGCTTTGTGACCATGGACTGACATGAGCACCTCAATTTAATTAAAAACAAAACTCCACTCCCAACGCCCCAGTCGCTTCCCTGTTTAAATGGGGGAAAGTAACCGCAGACAGGTACAAGTAACTCCATCATGTTTTATGTTAGAACATTAAAACATTCTAGAGCAGGGGTGTCGAACTCATTTGTTATGAGGGCCGGATCTGATATAAATGAGACCTTGTTGGGCCGCGCCATGCGTGTCATAAATTGTAATGCCAGGGAGCGGAGATATAAACTTTATAAAGGACACAAACACAAAGGGTGGGGTTATTTTACTTAAAATAAAAACATGTTTAAAACATCAGCACTCTTGCAATATTTTGTTTATTTAACAGTGTCTGATAACTGACACCTCTTGCTCTGAATTACTGCATCAAAATGTCTGTGCTGTTGCAATCTTGAGTATGCTGTTCAGGTGTGTATCTGTAAGATGCAGACCTACGATGACGCAGCAGCAGAAGAACTGGAAGAAGAAACTGGAGACAACCAGTTCCGCTGCGGGCCTGATAGACGCCCTCCAGGGGCCTGAATTGGCCCCCCGGCCGCATGTTTGACACCCCTGTTCTAGAGAGTTAAGTTTGACTGGAAAAGAAAACTGATGGCAACAGGAAGTACAGACAAGTATGGGAGGGGTGTTTTCAGCTTCAGCTTCTGCAGAAATTGCTCTCCAAGTCAGAAAGATGACAAAGAGAAGCTTGATAGGACTCCCTCCTCTATAAGCCCACCGCCTTTTTGCCTTTGCCTGCTGTTCTAGTCGAGCAACAGAGGCAACTACTGGAAGGATAAAACCGCCACGTGTTTAACTAAGTGTTCTTCACAGTACTCAAATGGAGCCTTGAATGCTGCTAGTAGGGGTGTGCAAAAACAAAATAAAACACGGTATTTTCCAGGTTCAGGTATATTGAACCCCCAAAAAATTGGTATTTCCCAATATTCCCAAATCCCAATAGCGGCATAGTATTCAGATTCAGTAAATATTCAGGATTCCCGAAATTTTTCAGCTCCATTATACCCTATTGCAGTGTTCCCTCTAAGCTGAGTGAGTGTGAGCTAACTCACAGTTTTTTAGGCTCCGGCTCACACATTTTTGTCTCGGCTCAGGAAGGACGGCTCCAGAGCATATAATTTATGCAGCAGCAGCAGAAGAAGAAGAAGAAGAGATTGGATTTGTACCCCGCCCTTCACAACCCAAAGGTGTCTCAGAGCGGCTTACAAACTCCTTTCCCTTCCCCTCCCCACAACAGACACCCTGTGAGGTAAGTGGGGCTGAGAGAACTCTTGACAGAAACTGCTCTTTTTCAAGAACAGCTCTTATCAGAACCACGGCTTGCCCAAGGTCATCCAGCCAGGTGCAAGTGGAGGAGTGGGGAATCAAACCCGGTTCTCCCAGATTAGAGTCCGCGCACTTAACCACTACACCAAACTGGCTCTCGCTCACAACTTTAAGGCCAGTAGCTCACAAAGTAGAATTTTTGCTCACAAGACTCCACGGCTTAGAGGGAGCATTGCACTATTGGGACCATTACAGTCAAAGGCTAGCTCGATCTCGCCAGGTCTCGGAAGCCAAGCAGGGTCAGCCGTGGCTAGTACTTGGATGAGAGACCTCCAAGGAATACCAGGGGCCTGATGCAGAGGCAGGCAACGGCAAACCACCTCTGAAACATCACTTGCCTTAAAAACAAGTCCAGCTCGCCACTTCTGCCTGCCAGACAATCTTAGGATCTCCTAGCTACTCTGCACACAATGCCATACGATAACAACAACAATAACACTATTTGGATGGGCAACCACCAGGGAATT